GAGATGTCATACCTTACCCTAACCAGTCTAGAAGCCAGAGATGTCATACCTTACCCTAACCAGTCTAGAAGCCAGAGATGTCATACCTTACCCTAACCAGTCTAGAAGCCAGAGATGTCATACCTTACCCTAACCAGTCTAGAAGCCAGAGATGTCATACCTTACCCTAACCAGTCTAGAAGCCAGAGATGTCATACCTTACCCTAACCAGTCTAGAAGCCAGAGATGTCATACCTTACCCTAACCAGTCTAGAAGCCAGAGATGTCATACCTTACCCTAACCAGTCTAGAAGCCAGAGATGTCATACCTTACCCTAACCAGTCTAGAAGCCAGAGATGTCATACCTTACCCTAACCAGTCTAGAAGCCAGAGATGTCATACCTTACCTTACCCTAACCAGTCTAACCAGTCTAGAAGCCAGAGATGTCATACCTTACCCTAACCAGTCTAGAAGCCAGAGATGTCATACCTTACCCTAACCAGTCTAGAAGCCAGAGATGTCATACCTTACCCTAACCAGTCTAGAAGCCAGAGATGTCATACCTTACCCTAACCAGTCTAGAAGCCAGAGATGTCATACCTTACCCTAACCAGTCTAGAAGCCAGAGATGTCATACCTTACCCTAACCAGTCTAGAAGCCAGAGATGTCATACCTTACCCTAACCAGTCTAGAAGCCAGAGATGTCATACCTTACCCTAACCAGTCTAGAAGCCAGAGATGTCATACCTTACCCTAACCAGTCTAGAAGCCAGAGATGTCATACCTTACCCTAACCAGTCTAGAAGCCAGAGATGTCATACCTTACCCTAACCAGTCTAGAAGCCAGAGATGTCATACCTTACCCTAACCAGTACCCTACCTTACCAACCAGTCTAGAAGCCAGAGATGTCATACCTTACCCTAACCAGTCTAGAAGCCAGAGATGTCATACCTTACCCTAACCAGTCTAGAAGCCAGAGATGTACCTTACCCTAACCAGTCTAGAAGTCAGAGATGTCATACCTTACCCTAACCAGTCTAGAAGCCAGAGATGTCATACCTTACCCTAACCAGTCTAGAAGCCAGAGATGTCATACCTTACCCTAACCAGTCTAGAAGCCAGAGATGTCATACCTTACCCTAACCAGTCTAGAAGCCAGAGATGTCATACCTTACCCTAACCAGTCTAGAAGCCAGAGATGTCATACCTTACCCTAACCAGTCTAGAAGCCAGAGATGTCATACCTTACCCTAACCAGTCTAGAAGCCAGAGATGTCATACCTTACCCTAACCAGTCTAGAAGCCAGAGATGTCATACCTTACCCTAACCAGTCTAGAAGCCAGAGATGTCATACCTTACCCTAACCAGTCTAGAAGCCAGAGATGTCATACCTTACCCTAACCAGTCTAGAAGCCAGAGATGTCATACCTTACCCTAACCAGTCTAGAAGCCAGAGATGTCATACCTTACACTAACCAGTCTAGAAGCCAGAGATGTCATACCTTACCCTAACCAGTCTAGAAGCCAGAGATGTCATACCTTACCCTAACCAGTCTAGAAGCCAGAGATGTCATACCTTACCCTAACCAGTCTAGAAGCCAGAGATGTCATACCTTACCCTAACCAGTCTAGAAGCCAGAGATGTCATACCTTACCCTAACCAGTCTAGAAGCCAGAGATGTCATACCTTACCCTAACCAGTCTAGAAGCCAGAGATGTCATACCTTACCCTAACCAGTCTAGAAGCCAGAGATGTCATACCTTACCCTAACCAGTCTAGAAGTCATACCTTACCCTAACCAGTCTAGAGATGTCATACCTTACCCTAACCAGTCTAGAAGTCAGAGATGTCATACCTTACCCTAACCAGTCTAGAAGCCAGAGATGTCATACCTTACCCTAACCAGTCTAGAAGCCAGAGATGTCATACCTTACCCTAACCAGTCTAGAAGCCAGAGATGTCATACCTTACCCTAACCAGTCTAGAAGCCAGAGATGTCATACCTTACCCTAACCAGTCTAGAAGCCAGAGATGTCATACCTTACCCTAACCAGTCTAGAAGCCAGAGATGTCATACCTTACCCTAACCAGTCTAGAAGCCAGAGATGTCATACCTTACCCTAACCAGTCTAGAAGCCAGAGATGTCATACCTTACCCTAACCAGTCTAGAAGCCAGAGATGTCATACCTTACCCTAACCAGTCTAGAAGCCAGAGATGTCATACCTTACCCTAACCAGTCTAGAAGCCAGAGATGTCATACCTTACCCTAACCAGTCTAGAAGCCAGAGATGTCATACCTTACCCTAACCAGTCTAGAAGCCAGAGATGTCATACCTTACCCTAACCAGTCTAGAAGCCAGAGATGTCATACCTTACCCTAACCAGTCTAGAAGCCAGAGATGTCATACCTTACCCTAACCAGTCTAGAAGCCAGAGATGTCATACCTTACCCTAACCAGTCTAGAAGCCAGAGATGTCATACCTTACCCTAACCAGTCTAGAGGCAGAGATGTCATACCTTACCCTAACCAGTCTAGAAGCCAGAGATGTCATACCTTACCCTAACCAGTCTAGAAGCCAGAGATGTCATACCTTACACTAACCAGTCTAGAAGCCAGAGATGTCATACCTTACCCTAACCAGTCTAGAAGCCAGAGATGTCATACCTTACCCTAACCAGTCTAGAAGCCAGAGATGTCATACCTTACCCTAACCAGTCTAGAAGCCAGAGATGTCATACCTTACCCTAACCAGTCTAGAAGTCAGAGATGTCATACCTTACCCTAACCAGTCTAGAAGCCAGAGATGTCATACCTTACCCTAACCAGTCTAGAAGCCAGAGATGTCATACCTTACCCTAACCAGTCTAGAAGCCAGAGATGTCATACCTTACCCTAACCAGTCTAGAAGCCAGAGATGTCATACCTTACCCTAACCAGTCTAGAAGCCAGAGATGTCATACCTTACCCTAACCAGTCTAGAAGCCAGAGAAGTCATACCTTACCCTAACCAGTCTAGAAGCCAGAGATGTCATACCTTACCCTAACCAGTCTAGAAGCCAGAGATGTCATACCTTACCCTAACCAGTCTAGAAGCCAGAGATGTCATACCTTACCCTAACCAGTCTAGAAGCCAGAGATGTCATACCTTGCCCTAACCAGTCTAGAAGCCAGAGATGTCATACCTTACCCTAACCAGTCTAGAAGCCAGAGATGTCATACCTTACCCTAACCAGTCTAGAAGCCAGAGATGTCATACCTTACCCTAACCAGTCTAGAAGCCAGAGATGTCATACCTTACACTAACCAGTCTAGAAGCCAGAGATGTCATACCTTACCCTTACCCTAACCAGTCTAGAAGCCAGAGATGTCATACCTTACCCTAACCAGTCTAGAAGCCAGAGATGTCATACCTTACCCTAACCAGTCTAGAAGCCAGAGATGTCATACCTTACCCTAACCAGTCTAGAAGCCAGAGATGTCATACCTTACCCTAACCAGTCTAGAAGCCAGAGATGTCATACCTTACCCTAACCAGTCTAGAAGCCAGAGATGTCATACCTTACCCTAACCAGTCTAGAAGCCAGAGATGTCATACCTTACCCTAACCAGTCTAGAAGCCAGAGATGTCATACCTTACCCTAACCAGTCTAGAAGCCAGAGATGTCATACCTTACCCTAACCAGTCTAGAAGCCAGAGATGTCATACCTTACCCTAACCAGTCTAGAAGCCAGAGATGTCATACCTTACCCTAACCAGTCTAGAAGCCAGAGATGTCATACCTTACCCTAACCAGTCTAGAAGTCAGAGATGTCATACCTTACACTAACGAGTCTAGAAGCCAGAGATGTCATACCTTACACTAACCAGTCTAGAAGTCTTCAAAGTTAGGATTTTGATTGAAGGGTTAAAGTTCTCTTCCAGCATGTCACCGAAAGACAGGTTTCAAATCTGAGAAAACCAACTTGATATATACGTACATCAGATAAACAAAACCACCCGGATATCGTTATATTGTGATAGAGTTTGATATATACGTACATCAGATAAACAAAACCACCCGGATATCGTTATATTGTGATAGAGTTTGATATATACGTACATCAGATAAACAAAACCACCCGGATATCGTTATTTTGGATACAGTATGGATGTTATTAGTAAGATAGTCAAGGTTTACTCTCTCATCTCAAATATTTTGTAAGTAGTAACATTATTGGCTAGTGTAGTTGTTAGAGAATGTATATAAAACTGTTAAAACTATACACATATAGTGTTCAGTAAATATTATTTATCAATGGATGTACGGTGTCATACTCACCAACTTGTCACAAGAGACCGACAAGAATGAAGTTTACTTAGAACAATTTACAGAAAACTTCGTGCGTGTAAGAAAAAGAGGTTATCCAGATGACGAGTGATTCTATAGACATGTATCACGTTACCTAAGATAGCTAACGTCACGTGACTAATAGACTTTCTACAGTATCTTTTATTTTTCGTCTATAGCTTGATATACATATCGATAGATATACCGTCAGGAGTGTCCATTTATTTATCAGGATTTACCTCCACTTTTTCACTCTGTCAAATGGTATAGCGTTAAGCTTGACAGCCGACGGGGGCCGAGAAAGCCACTATTACGTCATTTCGGTCAGTGGACAAGTGGAGTATCATAAATACATCCTTTAATGTAATTTGGGTGTGAGAATGTGTTTATAAACTATGAAGATACCTGTACGTCTAGCATTGAATTTAACCTTCCAGAACCTTTAAATGTCATCATTTTTTATCAAAATTAAGCGGGTTTTTTTCTTGATTTACATCTAAAAAAACGTCTAATACTTGATAGTTTGTTATAGAAAATAATTGACTGACATCACCACATTTTCTGTTATCACTGATAGTTTATTGTATAAATAATTGATATCATTAGTTTTATATCACATGTTTTGTATCAACTTGTAGGAATCTCAATACATCCTCCTCCTCTTCTTCTATCCAACGATCCATCTAATCCATGAAGAGTCGTAGATAACGGTATGGAATTTTTCTTTTTACCCTGTTGTACTAGACAAAAGAACATATATATAAATACAAGGTATAAAACAGATTTAGATACCTACAAACACACAACATAAACCCACACCAAAGTCTACTTGTCACATTATTTGTATCACTTCAGCCTACCTGTCAAATTATTTGTATTACCCAGCCTACCTGTCACATTATTTGTATCACCCAGCCTACCTGTCACATTATTTGTATCGCCCAGTCTACCTGTCACATTATTTGTATCCCCCAGTCTACCTGTCACATTATTTGTATCGCCCAGTCTACCTGTCACATTATTTATATCACTTCAGCCTACCTGTCACATTATTTGTATCCCCCAGTCTACCTGTCACATTATTTGTATCACCCAGCCTACCTGTCACATTATTTGTATCCCCAGGCTACCTGTCACATTATTTATATCCTCCAGCCTACCTGTCACATTATTTGTATCGCTCAGTTTACCTGTCACATTATTTGTATCTCCCAGTCTACCTGTCACATTATTTGTATCATCCAGTCTACCTGTCACATTATTTGTATCCCCAGGCTACCTGTCACATTATTTATATCCTCCAGCCTACCTGTCACATTATTTGTATCGCTCAGTCTACCTGTCACATTATTTATATCCTCCAGCCTACTCGTCACATTATTGGTATCGCTCAGTCTACCTGTTACATTACTTATATCACTTCAGCCTACCTGTCACATTATTTATATCCTCCAGCCTACTCGTCACATTATTGGTATCGCTCAGTCTACCTGTCACATTATTTATATCACTTCAGCCTACCTGTGATGATGTAGCGTTAGCACAAAACGATGGCAGGGAAAATACACTGCGATCCGTAAGGACTTGTGGGTCCACGAATTCGTAATTGACTATCGCTCCACTAACAGGGTCGTAGTCTTCGTCTTGGATAAGGTAACGGATAGGTGGACAGACTGACCCTGTGAATATTACAATGTCACTATACAGAAATAAACACTACAAATATTAGAACTACTCTGGAATGAGGATAGGATCATTCCTGTAGATGTGATAAATATACAATAGTGTGGGGAAGTAGGTCTGGGAAACATTAATGAACTACAATATTGTGTTATCAGCCTTTTAGGCGGACGGATATATTTAGTAAATACAACGGAGAAATTTTATTTTGATTCAAATTCTATAATTTTGATAGAGTTTTATTGATTGTGAAATCGCATATCTTGTAAAAAATAAGACATGCAGTTTACAAATTTACAACCTTTCAACCAAAATAAGGGTATGCCTCACTTACCTACTTTAACATCAAGGGATAAGATGACGTCATCATTTTAATCTTTACGTCATACTTACCTACTTTAACATCAAGGGTTAGGATGACGTCATCATGTTACCCTTTACGTAATACTTGCCTACTTTAACATCAAGGGTTAGGATGACGTCAGCATACATTTCCTTCCTGATCAGTGTGAAGTGTTCTGTTATCTCCCGGAAGTCCCCTATACCACCATGCGAGTCGGAGTGGGCGTCCACTGATGGTATAACAATGTATGTATATCATGTAAGTAGTTATATAGGCACATACATTGTAGTGTTGATGATCATTAACATAGAGACTAATACTGATGCCGACATCTTGTTACATACTTGACAGTGATGATATAACTTTTCCAATGATGATATAACTTTTCCAGTAATGATATAACTTTCGTACTTTTGACGAACCGAAGCTGTGTTATCTAATCACAGCGTTGAAATTAGCCGATTTCATGTACGGGGGCAATTAAAGCGTAGATTGAATAGGTTGATTTTTCATTCAAATAACTCCATGTTTATAAAAAAAATAGTTCTGTTAGCAATTCGTACCAGTTAACATAAAACGACAGAATATTAAATTTTAAATGTCAAAGAGCGCACCAAAGTTTCCCGAACGTTTTGGAATATTTTACTTTTTATTTGGATCGGCTTCTTTCACTTGTTTTTTTTTATCTAAATGTAAAAAAAAGAAAATTGAATGGTTTTCCTTAAGATGTATATAGTTTAAAGTATTTCGTTTATAGTGGTATATTGTTTATAGTGATATAGTGCTTATAGTGGTATAGTGTTATAATGGTATATTGTTATAGTGGTATATTGTTTAAGTTTAAGTGGTATATTGTTAAAGTGGTATATTGTTTATAGTGGTATATTGTTATAGTGGTATATTGTTATAGTGGCATATTGTTATAGTGGTATATTGTTAAAGTGGTATATTGTTTATAGTGGTATATTGTTATAGTGGTATATTGTTATAGTGGTATATTGTTATAGTGGTATATTGTTATAGTGGTATATTGTTATAGTGGTATATTGTTATAATGGTATATTGTTATAGTGGTATATTGTTATAGTGGTATATTGTTATAGTGGTATATTGTGTGTATATTGTTTATAGTGGTATATTGTTTATAGTGGTATATTGTTATAGTGGTATATTGTTACAGTGGTATATTGTTTATAGGTATGTTGTTTACATTGGTATATTGTTTATAGTGGTATATTGTTTATAGTGGTATATTATATTGTTTATAGTGGTATATTGTTTATAGTGGTATTTTGTTTATGGTATATTGTTTATAGTGGTATATTGTTTATATTGTTATAGTGGTATATTGTTTATAGTGGTATATTTTTATAGTGGTATATTTTTTAAGTGGTATATTATGGTATATTGTTTATAGTGGTATATTGTTTATAGTGGTATAAGTGGTATATTGTTTATAGTGGTATATTGTTTATAGTGGTATTTTGTTTATGGTATATTGTTTATAGTGGTATATTGTGGTATATTGTTATAGTGGTATATTGTTATAGTGGTATGTTGTGGTATATTGTTATAGTGGTATATTGTTTACAGTGGTATATTGTTATAGTGGTATATTGTTATAGTGGTATATTGTTTACAGTGGTATATTGTTATAGTGGTATAGTGTTTACAGTGGTATATTGTTTATAGTGGTATATTGTTTATAGTGGTATATTGTTATAGTGGTATATTGTTACAGTGGTATCTTGTTTAGGTGGTATATTGTTATAGTGGTATAGTGTTTACAGTGGTATATTGTTTTTAGTAGTATATTGATTGTACTTAATTATAGTGGTAGATCGACTTGTAGATGAATTGTAGCGACTGTTGTAGTATATCGAAAATAGTGATAAATTGAGTGTATTGGTAACTATATTGCAATAGTATATTGATTGTAGTGTTATAACTAGTATAGTAGTATATGAATCAAGTGGTATATGAATCAAGTGGTATATGAATCAAGTGGTATATGAATCAAGTGGTATATGAATCAAGTGGTATACGAATCAAGTGGTATATGAATCAAGTGGTATATGAATCAAGTGGTATATGATTGTAGTGGTATAACTAGTATAGTGGTATATGAATCAAGTGGTATATGATTGTAGTGGTATTTTTATTTTAACTGTATATTCATCGTTGTGGTATGTTAATATTAATGGTATATTGGTTGTAGTGGTAAAAGGATTGTGGTTGTACATTGATTGCAGTGATAATTTGATAGGAATGGTACATCGATTGTTGTGGTATAATTATTGTAGGAATATAAAGACAAACATGGCACGCCATTCCAGGGATTCCATATGTAGTCACTATCCTTATCCTTAGTACAGGTGTGGTTGTCGTTATCAATACTGTATACTGCGCTCTGTAACGTAAAAAGTGTAAATCAAAATAATGTAACGTTCTCATAATGAGAAGGGGGTTAATGACGTCGTCACACAAATATACGACCATAAAAATACAATGAACATTAGCTTAATTGTCACTACAATGCCCCGGTATCATCAACTTCAATGTTCATTTTTCTCACTGAGATTTGAGATTTTGGTTTACACCATTAAGGTATGAAAAAGCATCCAAACATCATAAAAGGGCAGACTTCATTATCTGAAAAGCCCTTCTTAAAATTTCAATTAATGTATATATTTACCTGGAAAAATCTTCAATAAAATGTCATAGGGATAGTGATATTGGTCATTTAGCCTATAGAAGTGCCACCCTTAGGTGTCTGAAACTGTTCACTTACCTCATTAAAATGCCATATATATGTGTTAGAGAAGGTCACGTTGCCTAGTGACGCTATGCCCTTCAGGTCAAGTCTCATTTGCTGACTGGGGTAATCATAGTAGTACGTTCCGGTAGCGTTCATCTGTTCTGGTATAGACATTATCAGTTCACCAGAGTCAAAGAAAACCTTACTGTGCCATGATGGTGGAAATGTACAATGTACACCAATGTCACTTTCCAATACAGCGGAGGATAACGAAATGATTGAGAGGACAATCAACAATCTGAAAGTCTCCATTTTTATACCATGTGTAACGATAAGCTATCAAATGTGATTTTATCATATACCTGGGATGTGTATTCTCCTAATCAGCTGGTAATATTTGCTGACATGCTGATAAATTATTTCAGACATTTACTAACGCCATGTTTGAATCAATAGATGGGCGTGGTTTTGGCTTCATGATTAATATATCGTTACACAATGGCATAATTTCACACTTTCGATAACACATCATATTTTGAAATCAGGTGACTGACAAACACATTCAAAATATCCATGTTTGATCTACAATATTTTTAGAAAAATCGTCCCTTTGTTTTTTACAAGAGTTTTCTGGTGGACAAGTCGGTCGCTATACATCTCTCGGGAGGTTGTGGGAATCAATTCTAGAAAAACTATCTATGAACCATCTGTGAACTCCAAACCCGTTAAACCTCTCTCAGGAGGTTGTGGGAATCAATTCTAGAAAAAACTATCTATGAACCATCTGTGATCTCCAAACCCGTTAAACCTCTCTCAGGAGGTTGTGGGAATCAATTCTCTAGAAAGACTTAGAACCATCTGTGATCTCCAAACCCGTTAAACCTCTCTCAGGAGGTTGTGGGAATCAATTCTCTAGAAAGACTTAGAACCATCTGTGATCTCCAAACCCGTTAAACCTCTCTCAGGAGGTTGTGGGAATCAATTCTAGAAAGACTATCTAAGAACCATCTGTGATCTCCAAACCCGTTAAACCTCTCTCAGGAGGTTGTGGGAATCAATTCTAGAAAAAACTATCTATGAACCATCTGTGATCTCCAAACCCGTTAAACTTCTCTCAGGAGGTTGTGGGAATCAATTCTAGAAAAACTATCTTAGAACCATCTGTGACCTCTGAACCCGTTAAACCTCTCTCAGGAGGTTGTGGGAATCAATTCTAGAAAGACAAAGAACCATCTGTGATCTCCAAACCCGTTTAACCTCTCTCAGGAGGTTGTGGTAATCAATTCTAGAAAGACTATCTAAGAACCATATTTGAGTTCCAAACCTGATGCCAATCTCTCAGGTGACTTGTCATTCATCATGAGAGTTCGCATTACTGAGCTATCACTGATTTCTTTCCTTTCGAATAATATGTGGAAAAAGTGAGCTTATTTTATTTAATTTGTTATCTCAAGAAATGTGTTTATGTCTTTGAAATATCGATGTGAATATCCCCACTAAGCTGTTATCCGAGGACACCATGGATTTTATCACGTAACAATCTACGTGCAATGCTTTTATCTTACACGTATCATTTATATCACAATACGATAAGTTGACAAGTCGAGGTCACCACCAGAACTAGATAGGAGTAAAATCTAATATAATGTCTATCTGTCATTTATCAAGTCTACTTTTAGTAACAATGACAAAAAACGCTATTTCTTTATGAACTATAGACTATCAATATTTGCACATTTTACCGATCATGTCTATCACACCACAGACAGGTCGTACCGACTGGGTTGATAAATGATTTACACGTAAATTGATATAACATCACTGCCATGCCTTATTCATTCGTTAACGAACACGTTAACTTTATTTCCGTATATATGCTGAGGTATAAAGACTGATCGAGTGCAGAAAGTTCATGTGAGAAAATATCAAACTGCATCACATATGGGATTTTCTCCAATATGATGACGTCATCTGTTTAGTGCATGTCAATTGGTTGGTTACAATATCTGATACGGAATGATTACAATGTCAGATTTAATATTGTGATTGTAGAGTCTGTCAGGTATTTTGTGTGTATTATTTACAATATACTGTATACCGTATTAAAACGTTAATATCATGACAAGAGTGACCAGCCATATTTATTAGAAATAACACTAGATTTATCAGAGAATTCATTAAGTGGTTTGACCATTCTGTTGTGTAAATGACTACTGTGTTCATCATCAAAACTGGTATGTTTAGTGTCGTACAAGAACTATTGACAAGACATTGTCTAAATTAAATCTCTTTATTTGAATTATCCCATGAATAACCCAAAGCGTCGGCGAGGAAGTAGCCTCCTGATGAAACTGTGATCCTGTAACAAAAATAACACAGATATAAATTGTCATCGTCTAGATAAAACAATAATTACACACGTCATCGTCTCGATAAAACAATAATTACACACGTCATCGTCTCGATAAAAACAATAATTACACACGTCATCGTCTCGATAAAAACAATAATTACACACGTCATCGTCTCGATAAAACAATAATAACACACGTCATCGTCTCGATAAATACAATAATTACACACGTCATCATCTCGATAAAGCAATAATTACAAACGTCATCGTCTCGATAAAACAATAATTACACACGTCATCGTCTCGATAAAACAATAATTACACACGTCATCGTCTCGATAAAACAATAATTACACACGTCATCGTCTCGATAAAACAATAATTACACACGTCACCGTCTCGATAAAACAATAATTACACACGTCATCGTCTCGATAAAACAATAATTACACACGTCATCGTCTCGATAAAACAATAATTACACACGTCATCGTCTCGATAAAAACAATAATTACACACGTATAATACAAATAACACAGGAATAATTGTCATCGTCTCGATAAAACAATAATTACACACGTCATCGTCTCGATAAAACAATAATTACACACGTCATCGTCTCGATAAAAACAATAATTACACACGTCATCGTCTCGATAAAACAATAATTACACACGTCATCGTCTCGATAAAACAATAATTACACACGTCATCGTCTCGATAAAACAATAATTACACACGTCATCGTCTCGATAAAACAATAATTACGCACGTCATCGTCTCGATAAAACAATAATTACACACGTCATCATCTCGATAAAAACAATAATTACACACGTCATCGTCTCGATAAAACAATAATTACGCACGTCATCGTCTTGATAAAACAATAAAAACAATAATTACACACGTCATCGTCTCGATAAAACAATAATTACACACGTCATCGTCTCGATAAAAACAATAATTACACACGTCATCGTCTCGATAAAACAATAATTACACACGTCATCGTCTCGATAAAACAATAATTACACACGTCATCGTCTCGATAAAACAATAATTACACACGTCATCGTCTCGATAAAACAATAATTACACACGTCATCGTCTCGATAAAAACAATAATTACACACGTCATCGTCTCGATAAAACAATAATTACACACGTCATCGTCTCGATAAAACAATAATTACACACGTCATCGTCTCGATAAAACAATAATTACACACGTCATCGTCTCGATAAAACAATAATTACACACGTCATCGTCTCGATAAAACAATAATTACACACGTCATCGTCTCGATCAAACAATAATTACACACGTCATTGTCTCGATAAAACAATAATTACACACGTCATCGTCTCGATAAAACAATAATTACGCACGTCATCGTCTCGATAAAACAATAATTACACACGTCATCGTCTCGATAAAACAATAATCATCGTCTCGATAAAACAATAATTACACACGTCATCGTCTCGATAAAAAAATAATTACACACGTCATCGTCTCGATAAAACAATAATTACACACGTCATCGTCTCGATAAAAACAATAATTACACACGTCATCGTCTCGATAAAACAATAATTACACACGTCATCATCTCGATAAAACAAAAATAACACAGGTACAACTGTCTCGAAAAAACAATAATTACACACGTCATCGTCTCGATAAAACAATAATTACACACGTCATCGTCTCGATAAAAACAATAATTACACACGTATAATACAAATAACACAGGTATAATTGTCATCGTCTCGATAAAACAATAAAAACAATAATTACACACGTCATCGTCTCGATAAAACAATAATTACACACGTCATCGTCTCGATAAAACAATAATTACACACGTCATCGTCTCGATAAAACAATAATTACACACGTCATCGTCTCGATAAAACAATAATTACACACGTCATCGTATTGCTAAAAAACAATAATTACACACGTCATCGTCTCGATAAAACAATAATTACACACGTCATCGTCTCGATAAAACAATAATTACACACGTCATCGTCTCGATAAAACAATAATTACACACGTCATCGTCTCGATAAAACAATAATTACACACGTCATCGTCTCGATAAAACAATAATTACACACGTCATCGTCTCGATAAAACAATAATTACACACGTCATCGTCTCGATAAAACAATAATTACACACGTCATCGTCTCGATAAAACAATAATTACACACGTCATCGTCTCGATAAAACAATAATTACCCACTTAATCGTGAGTCCACAATCTGACTGGAGTAAAGTCTTGTTCTCTTCATATATAAGAGGTAGAAATGTCATCGTCTCGATAAAACAATAATTACACACGTCATCGTCTCGATAAAACAATAATTACACACGTCATCGTCTCGATAAAACAATAATTACACACGTCATCGTCTCGATAAAACAATAATTACACACGTATAATACAAATCGTATAATTGTCTCGATAAAACAATAATTACACACGTCATCGTCTCGATAAAACAATAATTACACACGTCATCGTCTCGATAAAACCAATAATTACACACGTCATCGTCTCGATAAAACAATAATTACACACGTCATCGTCTCGATAAAACAATAATTACACACGTCATCGTCTCGATAAAACAATAATTACACACGTCATCGTCTCGATAAAACAATAATTACACACGTCATCGTCTCGATAAAACAATAATTACACACGTCATCGTCTCGATAAAACAATAATTACACACGTCATCGTCTCGATAAAACAATAATTACACACGTCATCGTCTCGATAAAACAATAATTACACACGTCATCGTCTCGATAAAACAATAATTTCCCACGTCATCATCATCGTCTCGATAAAACAATAATTACACACGTCATTGTCTCGATAAAACAATAATTACACACGTCATCGTCTCGATAAAAACAATAATTACACACGTCATCAGCTCGATAAAACAATAATTACACACGTCATCGTCTCGATAAAACAATAATTACACACGTCATCGTCTCGATAAAACAATAATTACACACGTCATCGTCTCGATAAAACAATAATTACACACGTAATTACACACGTCATCGTCTCGATAAAACAATAATTACACACGTCATCGTCTCGATAAAACAATAATTACACACGTATAATACAAATAACACAGGTATAAAACAATAATTACACACGTCATCGTCTCGATAAAACAATAATTACACACGTCATCGTCTCGATAAAACAATAATTACACACGTCATCGTCTCGATAAAAAAATAATTACACACGTCATCGTCTCGATAAAACAATAATTACACACGTCATCGTCTCGATAAAAACAATAATTACACACGTCATCGTCTCGATAAAACAATAATTACACACGTCATCGTCTCGATAAAACAATAATTACACACGTCATCGTCTCGATAAAACAATAATTACACACGTCATCGTCTCGATAAAAACAATAATTACACACGTCATCGTCTCGATAAAACAATAATTACACACGTCATCGTCTCGATAAAACAATAATTACACACGTCATCGTCTCGATAAAACAATAATTACACACGTCATCGTCTCGATAAAACAATAATTACACACGTCATCGTCTCGATAAAACAATAATTACACACGTCATCGTCTCGATAAAACAATAATTACACACGTCATCGTCTCGATAAAACAATAATTACACACGTCATCGTCTCGATAAAACAATAATTACACACGTCATCGTCTCGATAAAACAATAATTACACACGTCATCGTCTCGATAAAACAATAATTACACACGTCATCGTCTCGATAAAACAATAATTACACACGTCATCGTCTCGATAAAACAATAATTACACACGTATAACATAGATAACACAGGTATAATTGTCATCGTCTCGTCTCGATAAAACAATAATTACACACGTCATCGTCTCGATAAAACAATTACTCACGTCATCGTCTCGATAAAACAATAATTACACACGTCATCGTCTCGATAAAACAATAATTACACACGTCATCGTCTCGATAAAACAATAATTACACACGTCATCGTCTCGATAAAACAATAATTACACACGTCATCGTCTCGATAAAACAATAATTACACACGTCATCGTCTCGATAAAACAATAATTACACAGGTCATCGTCTCGATAAAACAATAATTACACACGTCATCGTCTCGATAAAACAATAATTACACACGTCATCGTCTCGATAAAACAATAATTACACACGTCATCGTCTCGATAAAAACAATAATTACACACGTCATCGTCTCGATAAAACAATAATTACACACGTCATCGTCTCGATAAAAACAATAATTACACACGTCATCGTCTCGATAAAACAATAATTACACACGTCATCGTCTCGATAAAACAATAATTACACACGTCATCGTCTCGATAAAACAATAATTACACACGTCATCGTCTCGATAAAACAATAATTACACACGTCATCGTCTCGATAAAACAATAATTACACACGTCATCGTCTCGATAAAACAATAAAAACAATACAATAAAAACAATAATTACACACGTCATCGTCTCGATAAAACAATAATTACACACGTCATCGTCTCGATAAAACAATAATTACACACGTCATCGTCTCGATAAAATAATAATTACACACGTCATCGTATCTATAAAAACAATAATTACACACGTCATCGTCTCGATAAAAACAATAATTACACACGTCATCGTCATCGTCTCGATAAAACAATAATTACACACGTCATCGTCTCGATAAAATAATAATTACACACGTCATCGTCTCTATAAAAACAATAATTACACACGTCATCGTCTCTATAAAAACAATAATTACACACGTCATCGTCTCGATAAAACAATAATTACACACGTCATCGTCTCGATAAAACAATAATTACACACGTCATCGTCTCGATAAAACAATAATTACACACGTCATCGTCTCGATAAAACAATAATTACACACGTCATCGTC